AGCAAGCCCCGTTGGTTGTAGGAGCCCATGAGGAAGACTTGTACCCCATGCTGCTACCAGTGTGACCATAACCTCCAGAAACCGGCCTTCCAGGTGGGGTAGGATTAGGCCTGCTTGGGTGTGAACTTCTCCGCTGGCCGCGTCTGGCATAGTCCACACTTGCTCATCACCTTTGCAGTCTCTCTGCCGTCCCCTCCATGGACATAACCCACCAGGACCAGGCCTGGGTCTGTCTTGTTCTGCCCACCGATGTGCCCCCCTGGCCGGAAGGGAGTGCTCCGTAAACAGCTGTTGGTGATGAGCCGGAGTGAAGTCGTGTTTAATTATGGAATGAAGCAAAGGGTTATATCATGGAGATACGGGACGGCGAGGGCCACCTGTGCAGGATGCCTGTTGTTTGGGGTCCACACCTCTGATTTGTGTCCGAGAACCTACAACAGCGTAGGCAGCCCTCTCTGAGTTTCCAGAATTCAGTGAAAAGGATCAGCACATTTCATTTTGCTTAAAGATGACTCCCCAAGTTCAAGAACATTTTAGTCCTACTGAAAAAGATTCCCAAGCTGATGCAGGAAATTCTGATGAAGGGACTAATCACAACCTTGAAAAGCGCACAGCCTAATCTTTAGTGCTGTTGACAGGGAACAGATCTTGAGTGGGGCGGAAACAGAAGCTCTTTATTTTCCTGTTGACATACATTTTAACATTTCCAGAGATGTGGCAGCCAGGCCATCTCCACTGCATGGCCTCAGCACTGTAAGCCAGCCTGGGTATGACCCGTGAGCTGGGCTGGGGGGTGACAGGCACCTGAGGGCTCGTGGTGACAGTGCACGTGACATGAGGATGTCCAGTTGTGCCTGAGCCCCACGGGTGGGGCACAGCTGAGCGTGTGCTAATTCTGGGAGTGGGGAGAAGAGTGAGTAAGGATCCCACCCTCGGGGCTGTGCACCCCAGAGAGGAGATGGACAAACACTTGGGAGGGCCATGCTCAGTGCCACGTGTCCAGAATGATGGGGCAGGGGACAGGGGAGACCTGTGGTCAGGCAGGTGGCTGGGAGGTCACTGAGTGTGTGAGCAGTGACACGCACACTCAGTGCACGTGGGAGGGAGGGGTGCTGACCTCACAGCAAAGCTCACGTTTAGTCCCAAGTATCACAAGAAGCCTCATTTGAACAGGGAAGCAAATTGGCCAGTGGTTATGTTTCTCGAAAAAGATCCACTATTAAGAATGGCTTTGGGGTAGTGCCTGTGGCTCAAAGGAGTAGGGCACCAGCCCCATATACTGGAGGTGGCAGGTTCAAACCCAGCTCCTGCCAAAAAAAGAAGAATGGATTCGGCGGGAACAGGAGAGAGGCTGGGAAGGAAGCTGCTACAGAGGCACAGAGAACTGGAGCGATTCTAGACATAGGATAGTTTGGGCATGACCACCAAGATGGCCTGCTGATGCCTTGGATTCGGGGAGTGAGGGGAAAGGAAGATCTGAGGGTGACTGACCTGAGTCTGGCTTTGCTATGGGGTGGGTAGAGAAGCCCTTCACCAAGAGGGGTTGATGGGTGCTAACCTGGGGACACGGCAGTGAGGGAACAGCCCATCTTTTGGCAGAAGGCACCAGTCCCGAAGGAGGAGGCCCCCAGACACAGTGCCAGGAGTGTCAGGCAGGTACTCCAGGTGACTGACTCCAGGCAGGTGCATGGGGTGGGCACGGGGGCCCCAAGAGCCCTGGGGTGGCAAGGAGCCTGTGTCTTGGAAGCTCACCCTGGAATGGGGATGCATGTGAATTGTGGACTTTGTCCTTAGGGGCAGCATTGAGAGCACTGAGTCACCGGTGGCCTGCTGGGAACAGGCTGGGTTCTCTGATGTGGGGGAGAATGTGTCCGGAGGGCAGGAGGAGGAGTGGCCGCCTGCCAGAGAGACGGGAACGGTTGTCCCACACCTACATCTTTAGACATCGAGAAAATAACATAAAAGCAAAGGGAGGAAGCCTGGAACCTTAAAAGTTGGGCCAGGAATTCTACAATACAATTGTCAGCTGCAGCCAGGACACAATGAGGGCCCGACCCCAAAGATCCACGGCCTTGAGCACCCCTGCCTGGTGGCCGTTCAGGGAGGGGGGAGCTTTCTGTTTGTTTTTTGTACTGCTGCTTTGAGGTCCTTTCCTCTTGGAGTGTTTGTGGTTTCATAGCAAGGTGTCCAGGCTGGGTCCGCTTCCCGTGAGGAGCATGGTCTCAGGGTTAACAACTCTTTTTAAAAATAACTGATGACATTTTTTCAGGGGACAAAGACATGTGTACACTCAGAAGATGTCCCCACATCAACATGAGGATGGCCGGTCACTCCCAGCTCTGCTTGTTACTCCTGGTGGACGTGACTGTGCCATGTGGCTGGTGGAGGAGCCCAAGGCACTGCCATCCTTCTTCCCTCCAGGGCCCACAAGGCCCCTCTGAATCCTGGGCCTGTTTCTGTCCCCACGTCCCCAGGGAAGTGGATGTCACATGGAGAACAGCTATGGGGCTGCTCTGCCCCCTTCTACGCTCTGCACTTGGGGACCCCACCTACCAGGTGCCTCATTCCTTCTGTGTCAACTCAGGGAGCAATTCTCACAGAGTCCCAAGGTCTGGGCAGGAGCCTCATCAGGTGGTAGTCTCCATCACCGTGTGGCTGCTGCGCCCACTGCCGGGCAGAGGAATGAGAGTCTGCATTTGAAAGCTCAGGGCTTTTCTCCTGCTGCTCTGATGCTGTGGTTTCCCCTTTACTGGTTGAACAAGTCAGCATGTGCTGCAGCAAAATGCTGCTTGTCCCTGGTCCTGGGAGGGTCACCAACAAACGCCCCGTCTTCTCAAGTGAGCCTTGGTTTTCCTATTAAAAGCCAGGACGATTTCACGGAACTTGTTTTGCTTAATTAAATTAATGTATTTTTTGTTTTTGAGACTGGATCTTGCTTTGTCACTGAGCTAGAGTGCTCTGGTGCCACAGCTCACAGCAACCTCAAACTCAGTCTGGAGTGATCTTCCTGCCTCAGCCTCCTGAGTAACTGGGACAACTGGTGCCTGCCACCACACTAGACTAAATTTCTCTTTCTTTTTTTTTTTTTTGAGACAGAGTCTCAGGCTGTCGCCCTGGGTAGAGTGCTGTGGTGACATAGCTCACAGCAACCTCAAATGCTTGGACTTAAACGATTCTTTTGCCTCAGCCTCCCAAGTAGCTGGGACTACAGGTGCCCACCCCAATGCCCAGCTATTTTTTGTTGCAGTTGTCATTGTTGTTTTAGCAGGCCCAGGCTGGGTTTGAACCTGCCAGCCTCTGTGTATGTGGCCGGCACCCTACCCACTGAGCTACGGGCACCACCCTAGGCTAAATTTTTCTTTTCTTTTTTTTTGGAGACAGAGTCTCACTATGTCTACCTTGGTAGAGTGCTGTGGCATCACAGCTCACAGCAACCTCAAACTCAGGTTTAAGTGATTCTCTTGTCTAATCCTCCCAAGTAGCTGGGACAACAGGCACCTGCCACAATGCCCAGCTATTTTTTTGTTGCAGTTGTCATTGTTGTTTAGCTGGCCCAGGCTGGGTTTAAACCTCCCTGTCTCGGTGTATGTGGCCAGTGCCCTAACCACTGAGCTATGGACGACACCAGATTTTTCTATTTTAGTAGAGATGAGGGTCTCCCTCTTGCTCAGGCTGATCTTGAACTCAGGAGCTCAAGTGATCCTCCTGCCTTGGCTTCCCAGAGTTCTGGGATCACAGGTGAGAGCCACCACGCCCGCCACAACTGACTCCTGTGTATCAGTCTTATACTGGCCTTGCTAAATTCACTTATTCTAGTAACTTGTCTGTGGATTGTATACACTCATGTCATTTTTTATATGCAAAATGTATGCATTTATTGGATGCCTGTTACATTCCAGTTTCAGTGAGGAGGCAGATTCGCTGGGTGCCCCAAGGGGCTTGAGACACCTGCAGGGAGGGAAAGGAGCTAGGAGGGTGCAGGGCCTGGGGCTCTGCCCTCTTGGAACAGGACAAGTCATTCAAGCCAGAGGGTGCCTGAGGTGACCTTCATAGGGATGCTCACTGTGGAAGCCAAAGGCATAAAAATCAGGGCAAGGTCCAGGAACTGACAGCGTGGTGGGAGAGGTAGTGATCCCAACAAAGGTGACGTTTCCCTCCTCCCCAGCTGAGGGCAAGGGTGACGCTGGGTGAAGCTCCCAATGTAGGTTTTCAAGGGGCCTGTGTCCCTCTTGGCCTTCCTCAGTGCAGTGAGGCCAAGCTTTGAACCAAGTTCAAGGGCATGGATGGTCCTGAGAAGCAGCTTAGCAAAGGTGCTGAGTGTGGGAATAGGACTTTCTGTCCCAGCCCAGCCCAGGGGCACCCCAAGGCCCTCTCACCTCACATCCACCTCCCTGTTGCCAGGGCACTCACAGTTAGTGGTCCTCAGGATGTCCACATCCTAATCCTAGCACCTGTGGCTATGTGACCTCACATGGCAAAAGGACTTTCCAGGTGTGATTAAGCTGAGGGTCCTGAGATGGGGAGAGCCCCTAGATTATCCAGGTTGGGCCAATATCCTCAGAAGCTGGAAAGGCAGGGACAGGGACAAGGACCCTCCCTCAGCGCCCGTGGAGAGCCAGCCTGCTGATGGGCGGATTTCAGCTCTGGTTTCCTGAACTGTGACAGAGCCAATTTCCGTTATTTTAAGCCGTCGAATTTGTAGTACTTTGCTTCAGCAGCCCTGGGACACTGATGCCCCTTGGGGTTTGAAATGGGGACAGAAGGATGCCAGTTCCTGCCTCTGGGCTGCCTGGAAACTGTAGGGTGGCTGCAGGTGTGGAGAGACACAGGACACCTGTGTGCACAGAAGAAAGTGGAGCTGGGACCCAGCGTGACGAGCTCAGTTAGTGGTGGCTTGTCCCTAAGGCTGCCACGCCCCTGCTGGGGTCCTGTGACACACCCTTGCGTCCCAGTATTATGAAGTTTCTTTGAAGTAACTTCTTTTACTTGCAACTGAAAAGTACATTGACTAAAACAACAACTTCCTTTTAATTTCAAAAGTCACATGCTGTCAGACCGTGAAACTGGGAAGCATTTCCTCTTCTCAGAGCTGGTCCTCCCTACCCCTTTGGATCGTCTGTAGTGGCTGGGAAGGACGCACGGACCTTCCGGTTCAGCAGGGGTTGCAGGGGACGGTAGTTGTTCACCATCATTTTCTCTTTTTCACCAACTGCAGTGAACAGGAGCCTACGAAATGCTGAGAGCTGGAAGAGAGGGCAGCCGGCGTGAACCTGGGGCAGGAGTGGAGTGACCCGGCCTGGGCGTCCCCTGTGCCTGAACGGTCCTCTCCCAAACTGAATCAGGACAGCTCTGTGTGACCAGTAAATGTGGAGGCGAGGACAGTGTGACCGCCAAGGCCAGGCCATAAAAGCATTGTAGCTGCCACCTTGGTCTGCATACAGGGAGGCCAGCCGCCACGCTGCAAGGGTGAGGCTCGGAGAGGCTCATATGGAGAGGAACCGAGGCCCCAGATGATGGCCAGCACTGACCTGCCGGCCGCTCTGGAGGGCTGACACTGGGAATGAATCCTCCCTCCCCAGTCAGGCTCTCGGATAACTGCAGCACCCAGCTGATACCTGACCACAGCTCTGTGAAAGATCTGAAGTCAGAAACCACCCATCTCCTCACCTACAGGGACTTTTCAGACAAAAGAAACGAGAATTGCTGTCTTAAGCCCCTGTAGGTTGGAGCGATTTGCCACACAGTGGGAAATAATGAATACATATAGTTTACATGTGAAAGTAACATTAGAATCTGCTTTTCACTCAAAGAACTAAAAGGCTGTTTTTTCTGTGTCATCTCACTTGTTCTCAAAATATACTTATGAACTCTGTGAGGGTGACTCACGTGTTTAAATCCAGAATTGATATAATGTCCACCTCATGGGCACTTCCTGGGCACGTCAGCCCCAGGAGAGGACATGGAGCTGCCACATCACTGTATCCCACACGGAAGTCCCCAGAATCTGCTCCTATTTTTTTTTATTATTTTATTTTATTTCATTTTATTTTATTTTTGAGACAGAGTCACGCTCTATCATCCTGGGGTAGAGTGCCATGATGTCCTAGCTCACAGCAACCTCAAACTCTCAAGCCATCCTCTTGTCTCAGCCTCTCGAGTAGCTGGGACTACAGGTGGCCCCCATGACGCCCAGCTTTTTTTTTTTTTTCAGTTTTTGTCTGGGACTGGGTTTGAACCTGCCACCTCCAGCATATGGGGCTGCTGCCCTACTCCTTTGAGCCACAGGCACTGCTCAACTATTTATTTTTTTAGAGATGAGGTCTTGTTCTTGCTCAGGCTGGTCTTGAACTCCTGAGCTCAGACAATCCACCCTCCTTGACCTCCCAGAGTGCTGGGATTACAGGCTGAGCCACCGTGCCCGGCATAACAAACTTCTGTTTCAACTGGAAAATCCTTCTTGTGCAGGAGCATCTGAAACGCACCAAATAATAAAAACTCCATGATGCTCTGTCCCAGTATGTCAGTGAAGACGTCGGACAAGCGGAGCATCCCCCACTAAGCCCTGCTCTCTGTTACCTGGCTCGGTGACACTTCAATGGGCTGCTTCTGGATCATCCAGGTGACAGACTCGGCCAGCGGGGGGGTTGTGAGGGAGCCCGTGTAGGTCCAGTAGTCCCGGGAGGTAGGTAGCAGACAGGAGGGGTCGAAGGGGCCCACGGCCGCCCGAGCATCCTGAGAAACCAAAAACCACAGGCTGTCTGTTCTCAGGAGGAAACAGGGCACCAGGGCCATTAGCTTATTTCTGCCTGTGGCCTTCATAGCAGTGAAGGGAGTGTCTTCCCCACATGAAGGCTATGAGGCCACCTGGTCCCGTTTGGAAGCAATGATTAGAAAATGTGACCCTTGCTTACAGAGTAGGAATTCTCACCAAATACACATATTTTTTCCTTTTAAAGTCATTGATTTCTGGCTATAACGGTATTATACTTTCTATTGTGTTAAAATATACATAACATTTACTATCTTAATCCTATGTAAGTGCACAGTTCAGTCACATTAAGTACGTTTACACGGTTCTACAACCATGGCCGCCATCCATCACCAGAACTTTTCATCTGAAACTGAAACTCTGTCCCATGAAACACTCACTCCCCTGCCGCCGCCCCTTCCTGCCCCGGCCAGCACCACCATTCCACAGTCCGTCTCTGAATCTGACACACACGGGGCCTCGCGTGGGTGGAATCACGTAGTCTCTTTGCTGTGGCCGCGTCAGAGTTTCCTTCCCTTAAAGTCTGAATCATGTTCTGCAGCACAGAGGGGCAACGCTCTGTCAGTCACCAGTGGGTGCCACCTGGGTCACTTCCACTTTTTGGCTGTCATGAATAATGCTGCTGCCATCATAGTTGTGCAAATGTCTCCTTGAAACCCTTTTCTCGGTTTTTGGTCATATATACCAAGAAGTGGAACTGCTGAGTCAGACAATAGTTGTACTTTTTGCTTTTTTTTTTTTTTTCCGGAGAAAGAGTCTCAATTTATCACCCGTGGTAGAGTGCCGTGGTGTCACACTCCTTACAGCAACCTCCAACTCCTGGGCTTAGGTGATTCTCCTGCCTCAGCCTCCCGAGTAGCTGGGACTACAGGTGCCTATCACAATGCCCAGCTATTTTTTTGTTGTTGCAGTTCGACTGGGGTCGATTTTGAACCCGCCACCCTCAGTATATGGGGCCGGCGCCCCATCCATTGAGCCACAAGCGCTGCTTGCTTTTTTTTTTTTTTTAAAAGCCAGTCAAATTTGGTATTTTTTACTGTTTCAGGAAGCAGCGCATATATTCCCCAGTGGCTGTGCCAGAAAGCCTCATGCTTTGAAGACAGCTACCCCTGTCTCACACACGCTGATGTAGAGATGGGGTGGAGCAGGTGCTTGGGAGGACACCCCGACTCTCGGCCATGGTCTCCCTTCACACAGGGAACAGGTGGGATGGACACCTGACAATCGTCCTCGGTCACAGCGACCTCAGCCACTCGAGCCCACATGGCGTGTCCCTGCTTGGCAGCATTTGCTGCTCCCCGGTCCTGTGGGAGGACGGGGACAGCAGAGGGATTCAGCCTTCCATCATTCACTGCTCACCATTGTAGTGGGGCAGTACCAGTGCCCTGACCCTGCCCTGGGCCAGGATGTGGGGAGAGCAGAGCACACGGAACCTCCAGCCTTCACGGGAGGGCACGGGCAGCATGCAAGGGAGGTGGGCAAAGTGCCCAACAGTTTATGCTGTGAGGAGTGTGATGGAGAAAGAGAGTAGGTGAGTGGAGTAGGAAATAGGGGTGGCTAAAAGGTGGTCTGGGAGGTGACCCCAGAAAGTAAACAATGAATTAAAAGTGTGGTCCTGGAGGCCTTGCAGAGAAGGGCGTCTGAGGGAAGCTGCGGAGCAGAGCACTGCAGAGGCTCCCTCTTCCCTGATGGGGAAGGGGAGACGGTGTGAACGACCTGCCCAAAGCCCTCATTAGATGGGCAGAACCCAGGTGCTCCGGAGTGGGGCATGTTTCGAGGCATGGTACCCCCCAAAGGCTGCAGGAGTGAGAGGAGCAGTGGGGCCCCGACCTCTCTCAGCACCACTTGCCTTCCAGGAAGCTGTCCAGCCTTTGGCCAGGTAGAGGACATCTGTGTATGTCCAGCACTGTCCCCAGGAACTCTGTGTCCCATCCGTACGACACACGAGGGTTCAGAGCACTGTGTGGTCACAGAAAGCTGCACCCCCTTGGGGGACCCTTCCTACCTGTGTGGTCAGCTGCAGGGCTGGAATGTGTCACTGGTGAGTACATGGGTGTGGCTTAGACTATCCCGTCCTCTACCTGAGGGGACGGTGGACTCCTTGTGAGAAGGTGCCTGCTCTGCTCGTCTGCTGCTGACAGGGGTCAGTGAGTGTCCCTGCTTCTCTGCATGTGTAGGCCACATCTGAAGGAGGCCAAGTGGCTTCTGGAGTCCCCTGCAACTCAGCAAGGCAGAGTCAAAGTGGGAGAACAAGCTGAGCTCCGGGGCAGAGGCCACAGAGACTGCCAAGGATGGGGGCATTTAGCTCCAATAAGGGCCCTGTGTGGACTGCTCAGGGTGGGGGTTCTGTCCTGCATGTCCCAGGTAGTGGCCACAGCACACACAGGGGCTTAAGATGCTATGAGTACAGAAACGTCTCCCCAGATGCTGGGGTCCTGGGACGGATCTAACTGCATCAAAAACTGCAGCTCCTGGAGGAAAGGGATGGGGGAGGGGTGGCTGCCCCCCGTGACTTGGCAGACAGGGTCTTAGAGCCCTGGACCTGCTTCCTCACTCCTAGTTCTGCCTCCTTTTTCTTAAACACAACCCACAAAGCTAACTCTGCTCCTGCCATGTCCTCTCAGAGCCTCGGTCCCCAGGGCACAGTGGGGAGCGTGGTGACGTGACCTGAGGGTCTGCCCCTGTTGCCACCAAGTGGGAAGAGCCCACATGTGGGCATGGGGCCACCTAGATCCCCCTGGACTCCCTAGGCTGTTCCCAACCAGCAAAATGGCCGATTGCCCTATGGCCCTGAGTCCTGGCAAGACAGGGACTTGGGTGGCCCCAGCATCCTGGCCTTGCAGCCTACCCTGGATTTGTGGGGGGCAGCCTTAGTGGGCAGGTTGCCCTAAAGCTCTGGCTGTGGAGAAGGATCAAAGGTGAAGTCTGGGGTCTCATTTCTGGGGTTTGCCAAAGTCAGGGGGTCATACTGGGGTTATACAAGAATGGCAGGAGCTGAGCAAACATCTATGGCAACGGCAGCAGCGGGATGGGCCAGGCAGATGGGAAGACAGGAAGCTGCTGCATTCACCCAGGCAGCTGGGGGCTGGATGGGGCACTCCAGGCTTCCAGGCAGTGCCTAGTTTGTTTTTGTTACGGATGTGGAAATGTGTTTCCCTCTAAGCTGCAGGAAGCTTGGATGGGTGCAAGTCACCCCAGCAGGAGCTTAGGAGCCCGGGCCGTGGGTTTTGACTCCCATGTTGGAGCCTAAATGGTGGGAGTTCAACTGGGTCCCTAAAGCTCTCTGTGTCAGAACCTGGCTCTTGGTGGGGCACGGCGGCTCACACCAAGCAGTGAGGCCAAGGCGGAAGGATGGTTTAAGGCCAGGAGTTTGAGAACCGCCTGGACAGCACAGTGAGACCCCATTTCTACAAGAAAATTTTTTGAAATTAGCTGAGCATGGTGGTGGGTACCTGTACTTCTACCTACACAGGAGGCTCAGGCAGGAGAATAACTTGAGCCCAGGAGGCTGCAGTGAGCTATGATAAGGCCACTGCACTGTAGCCCAAGTGACAGAGTGAGACCTCATCCCTAAAAAAACCAAACCAACACAAATCCTGGCTCATTACCTGCTGGCTTCATGCCCCAGGGCAGGTCCTTCCCCTCTCCAAACTTTGGTCTCCCTGTGTGCACGAGTCTGAAAGATCACAGACCTGCCCACACAGTGGTCTGGAAATGAAGTGGGGTGATCTCTATGGAGTGCTATAACTTCCCTGCCACCATCCCAATGAGGTAAGAGTGATGTGATGTCACTTTGAAGCTGGGCAGTGGCTGTGGCTGGGATGGGGACAGATCACAGCAGAAGCGATGATTTGTGACTCTGGGACAGGGTGTGAAAGGGACTTTGAGCCCAGCTGGCTCTTTCTTGGTACATGAGTCTATGGAGCCTCACATGCCACAAGAGGGAAGACACAGGGAGGCCACGGAGAGGTGGGGAAAGACGCCCTGGAGGGTCCCAGCCAAGCCTAGGCCAGGGGGAGCCAGGAGCACAGGTGGTAATAAGTGACTGTGTCTTTCATGCCCTGGGTCCAGACAGTTTATTCCTCTGTGTGGAGACCAGGGAAGTAGCCCTGAGGCTGATGCTGGGAGGGCCAGTCCCTGGGGAGAGGGTTGTGCTGAGTCCTCAGGGGCCAGTGGCAGAGCTGGATCTAAAGCTAAGATCATATATCCTGGCACCTTCTGCTGTCACCACCCTATCTTGCTCTGTTCTGCCCTCCTGTGAGGGAGTTAGGACCCATCTGAATGTTTTTTTGCCTTTTTTTATTTTTTTGAACAGAGACAGAGTCTTGCTCTGTTTCCTGGGCTAGAGTGCCATGGCATCCTAGCTCAGAGCAACCTCAAAGTCCTGCCTCAGCCCCCCAAGTAGCATGGATTATAGGAGCCTGCCATAACGCCCAGCTTGTTTTTTTCAATTTTTAGTAGAGACAGGGTCTTACTCTTGCTCGGGCTAGTCTCTAACTTCTGAGCTCAGGCAATCCTCCCACCTCGGCCTCCCAGAGTGCAGGGATTACAGGTGTGAGCCACTGTGTCCAGCCTCTTCTGAACATTTTAATGAGGACCAGACACTGTGCTATCCCATCTTAACCCTGATCAAAGTGCTGTAGTTTCACAGATGAGGATGTTGAGGTTTAGAGTCACATGGCTCAAAAGTGGTGGCTCAGGGCTTTGAACCCTGGGAGTCTGAGGGCCTCTGATGCTCTGAGATTCTCCCAGAAGGTCTAGACGGGGAACAATGGACAACAGGGGCATTCAGGTCCCTTCCCACAGCCTGGTCTTTGAGGCCTGGGTGAACCTTCACCTCCCAAGAGTCTAACTCTCTTCTTCCTCAGTAGCCCAGGGAACACCGTCAGGATGGGAGTACAACCCAGGCTGTGTTTCTCTTGCCCCCGACATGTTTCTCCCTGTGGTTTGCCCAGAAATCTCCGAGTCGGCCAATAGGGAGACACGCTCCCAAGCCCTCCAGGAAGAAAACAGGTTCCTGAGCAAACAGCCCCACACAGCTGGCGCCTTCCCCTCCTGCCCGATGCAGGACCCTCAGGTTTACTCTGGCTGCGGACCAGCTCCAGGGCAGAGGCCAGGCGTGGGTCCTCACACCCTGGCCTTGATGAGTTCCTGAGGTGGAGGACAGAGCAGCAGGGGTGGTCAGGTCTCAGTCCCCAGAGGCTGGCCGAGGGGCCAGCATCAAGAGGGACAGAGGCACAGATCAAACATGTGAGGGTGCCGAGGAAGGGCTGGCCCCCGCTTTCATCTGGACCACCTCGTGCCATTGTTAAGACAGGTCGCAGCCTCATCCGTCCTCACATCTAAGGATCACGAGGGCTCCTGCTGCCTGGGAATGCTTTTGTTTAGTGCTGAATAAATAAACGGATTTTCCTTGGGACTTCCATTTCTGCATCAAAGTCCTTTCTTGGCTGATTTTGGAGAAAAGTGACATAGTTATCCTTGTCATCTCTGTGAGCTGTGCCCAGTGTGGTGAAGCTCCTAGAGATCCTCAGCCCTGCCTTGGGCCTGCCGGCTGGGTCAGGCAGCTTTCTCTCTTTCCCCTTAGACAGGGATGGCCTTGTTTACACCCTGAGCGTGTGCTGGGTAGCTCATGGTGGACATTCGCGAATGTTGATAGGTGTTGCTTTCCTTCAGTTGTAAGACAAACTCTACCCCTAGTGGATGTCTTTGTCGGGACAAGCCTTATCAATTCAAAGTAGTCCCAGCGACAAGCAAATATGGCAAAAAATTTCAAGATGCCGCCTGATTGGCTGAATTTTGGGAAACCCCAATTGAGGTCAACACCCTTCTTTTACTGAGGAGAGTTTCCTATGGGAAGGCCCCATGAGCCCGCGCTGGGCATGGCTGGAATGGGCCCCCTTGAATCCCACTTGGGGGCTGGAATCACCTTTCCTCCACAGTGCTCTTCCACTAAACTGTTTAATGCTCCTTGCAAATGGGTCATTCCTCTAAACAGGTTTGCCTGTCAAATCATGCTGATTTCAACATACACAACTCACCTTATGCTTTATTTCTGGCAAGATGTCCACCAACTTCTGCAGGGCCTGGTGAGGTGCTCCCAGCTGCACAGCACAGACACACCACACGTTACCCCGAAAGGCTGCAGGCAGGATGGACCCACAACTCCCAGGGCACACTCTCTGCCTTCTTAGGGTGAGCGCCTGTCTTCACTGGGAGCGCCACGCACCCGCAGGTAAGTACCTTTAAAAACACGCCTATCACAGCCAAGCCATTCTCGCCTATTACAGCTTCCTGGTAATTTCGGTATTTCACAGAATTCCAGTGTACTAAATGCAGCTGAAACACAATAGAAAGAATTTAAGTTGATTATGACACAGCAAGAATAAAACAGTCACTTACTGTTCTGTACGGCAGACCTGGTGTCCACTTAATGATTTCAGTGAATTAAGTTCCTACAGCCTGGTGTGCAAACTCCCTGCACGGCCAGCAGCTCCCAGATACTCCACAAGACGGCTGGCAGGAAGCACCTCAGCCTTCCCGGCAGGAGGGAAAGGAGGGGATTGTTTTAACTTCATAAAATATTATAGAAATCAGTAGTTTGGTCAGTTGCTACTTCTTAGTCACTGTTCAACAAAGATTACCAGATAAAATACAGGACTCTCAGTTCAATTTGAATATCAGGGCTGGTGTAGTGGCTCACACCTGTAAACCCAGCACTCTGGGAAACCAAGGCAGGAAGATCCCTTGACCTCAAGAGTTCAAGACCAGCCTGAGCACGAGTGAGACCCTGTCTCTACTAAAAATAGACAAATTAGCTGTGCGTGGTTGTGGGCACCTGTAGTCCCAGCTACTCGGGAGACTGAGGCAGGAGGATCGATTGAGCCCAAGAATTTGAGGTTGCTGTGAGCTAGGCTGACATTATGGTATTCTAGCCTGGGCAACAGAGTGAGACTCTGTCTCAAAATAAAAATATAAATAAGTCTGGGCACAATGGCTCATGCCTATAATCCTAGCTGAGGCAGGTGGATTGCCTGAGTTCAGGAGTTCAAGACCAGCCTGAGCAAGCGAGATCTCATCTCTAAAAATAGCCAGGCATTGTGGTGGGCACCTGTAGTCTCAGCTACTTGGGAGGCTGAGGCAAGGGAATCACTTGAGCCCAAGAGTTTGAGGTTGCTGTGAATTATGATGCTATGGACTCTACCTATGGCAACAAAGTGAAACTCTGTCTCAAAACAAAACAAAACAAAACCCCAGAGCCTGGCATCTGGCAGACTTCTAAAATAGATACACACACACACACAAAATAAATTTGAATTTCAGATGAGCAATGAATAGCTTTTAGTGTGTGTCCCAAATTTTGCATATTTTCCTAAATCTGGCGCCTGACTTTGAACTTCACTGGTGTCTTTGTTCTACACTCCTCCTTCAGTCCTCCTGCTGTAGGAACACAGGTCTGAGAGTGAGGTCTTTAGTCCAAACTCAGATCAGAGCTGGCTGGGGAGAGGGCTCTCTTGAGTCCCTGGTGAGCAGGAGGCAGGACCATTGTCCAGGTGCCTGGGCCCTGGCCGGGCATTCTAGGGGATGGGAGCACTCTCCCAGAAGTGGCCTGGTCTTTACACAGTTCCATGGGGTTGTGCTGGAGGGTCTTCTAAAGGAGGAGCCAATGCTCAGGTCCACATGGACATGATGTAGCATGCTTTTGGCTTCTTGTCAGAAGGCCCTCACCCTGCAAGGACTTTGGGATAAGGGCCCTGCAGAGGTTATAGGGGCAGTGAGTGCGGTGTGGCACCTCACCACCAGCCAGTCTCAGTGACCCCAGCTGTGTGTATCGAGGGGGTGTGGCCTCTCCCTACCCACCTGTGGCTCACCTGGAGTGCTACCTGAGAACCCTCAGTCTACTGAGGAGGCTGGCTTCCCTCTAACTCTGCTCCCGGGAAGTGGCAGCAGCATGGCCAGAGGCTGTGCCAGGAAGTCAAGGACGTCGGAATAAACTGCCCCCTACTTTTCTCTGTGAAAATCTCTATTTATTAAAAACGAAGCTGCAGATACGGAGTTACTAAGATAAAAGGTATAAATCAGAGAGGCGGGTTAGAAGGCTGCATAACGTCGGTTTTGTAACTATTTATAAATACCTGTATATAGCTACAACCCCCTGGTTACAAAACGTCCCCAGATGTCACCTCTGAGCGTGACTGATTTTCATTTTCAGGTTTACTCCCACCTTTTTGGTTTGGGTGGACTCTAGTTCTATTTTAACTACAGCATTACTGGGCACAGTGGCCCACACCTACAATCCCAGCACTTTGGGAGACCGAGGCAGGATGGTCATCTGAGGCTAGGAGTTTGAGATCAGCCTGGGCAACACAGTGAGACTCTATCTTTACAAAAATGTATAACAAACTAGCTGGATGTGGTGGTGTGTGCCTGTAGTCCCAGCTACTCGGGGGATCCCTGAGCCCAGGAGTTCAAGGCTACAGTGAGCTATGATGGTGTCACTGCACTCCAGCCTGGCTAACAAAGCAAGTCCCTGTCTCTAAAAAACCAGAAAGAAACCCCCCCTTAAAAGCTACAAAATACTATAGTATTACCTTCATGACAATAAAATTATAAAACAGTCCATAACTCCAAAGGCCTCACAAAGTCAAGTGAGTTGGTGGGTTAATGACACTGTGATGGAGAGATCATGGCAACTGGTAATCACAGTACAGACGTGGCGACCCCGTGGATTCTCATTGTACAGTTCTTCCCAAGTTTTTGCATGTTGGAAATAATTTACAATAAAACACTAGAGAAATTCTGTCAGGTGTCACTCATCGCCCCACGTAACTACCAAAGCTCACTCCTACTGTTTATCCCTATTTGTTTTCTCTACGGACTCCCGTCTCAGAATGTTGAAAGTATGACTTTCCTTTAAGAAGTCGGTCTCTGGCTTGGCGCCTGTGGCTCAAGTGGCTAAGGCGTCAGCCACATACACCTAAGGTGGAGGGTTCGAATCCAGCCTGGGCCCACCAAACAACAATGATGGCTGCAACCAAAAAATAGCCGGGCATTGTGGCGGGTGCCTGTGGTCCCAGCTACTTGGGAAGCTGAGGCAGGAGACTCGCTTGAGCCCAGGAGTTGGAGGTTGCTGTGAGCTATGATGCCACGGCACTCTACCCAGGGTGACAGTTTGAGGCTCTGTCTCAAAAAAAAAAAAAGAAGTTGATCTCAGCTGTCAGGACTTTAGATCCTCAGGAGAGCTGCCAGTGCGTGCCCCTGCAAGCACACAGCGGTGTAAGAGGCTGCTGATGAAGGGTTCCCGGTTCCCAGCTGTTTGACTCTAGCAAGTTACACAACCACTCAGAACCTCAGTCTCTTCTTCTGTTAAATCAGAGTGTCCACTCCACCCTCCTCTCAGTGGTGTGAGTAGGTGGGCCAACTGTTCTGGTTTACACCTGAGCAACAGGGACAGCTCATCTCCCCCAGAAGAGCCTGGGACAGAGAGCACTGTGAGGGGACATTTACGAACCTCTGCTGGGTACACCTGGCCGTCCACCGTGTGCTCGGAGCCCCACTCGTTTTCCGCTCCCCAGTGGAAGTGGAACTGCTGTAGTCTGTAGTGGTTTTCCAAGGGCCCACCACTAATCCCTAAAAATGAAAGGAGGAAGATGGTTGTGCTGCTGCCTCTCTGTTGAGCCATGGTGTGGCTCGTGCTCTGTCAACGTTTGGGCTACACGATGTCACTCGAGAGAGACAGACATATGGCTGAAACGACAGACTCTAGTCCGGCCCTGTGAAGGGGGATCTGTGCCTGTCCCGCTCTGTCCCCAGCACCCAGCCTGGCCCAGTGCCCACCACAGGCTCCCGGCAGGCGCTAGAGTGGGCATAGGTTCTAAGTACCGTCCCTATGTGGTGGGGGGGGCCCGGCTCCCTGCCTGTAGCTGCGGCCACTGCACATTCTGAGGACCAGTCCTACAAGATTTCCAGACTTTTCTTTTTTTTTTTT